GATTGATAAGACGATGTCAGAGGAATTGGTGCACAAATTATCATCACTCACAGATCAGTGCTGTCGCTCTCTATACACAGGTCGCGCGATTGCAAAGTGAAAGCAAAAAACAAGCGCAATTCAAACGCGATTTCAATATGTCACATATTGACAGTGGCTCACCGATGCCAATGACATAATTACCCAGCTACATTTCCGAAAGAATGCAGAAGCATTGACATATATTTTCCTTCTTATGACAGCCCGACGGGCAGGGCAGAGATAGATTTTGGTAGCCCGACTGGAAAAATCGCTAGCCCTGGGACGTCGGGCTAGCCATTTTGCGAGCCCTGTACAGTGTTTCAATAACTGTACCTACTACTCTCCCTGATGGAACAACGCTTGCACTGCCACATACAAGTCACTGAAAGAAAAAAGAAAAGCAGTTTTAAGGATAGTTTTATTGGCACCTTTTTTCACTTTGATTAAATCATAAACTATCATAAAAAATATATGATGGTAAAAGGCTTACCATGTATTAAAGAGGAGCACAAACAATCAGAAAAAGGGGTCAGCTTTCTTTGTGGTGTTACTATGGTAAAGAAACAGAAAAAATTATTTTATAAAAATTCCACAGTGGATTTTTTTTACTTTGTTGCAAATGTATAAAAAAAAATACAAATACATATAAATACCTCTTGCAATAAAAAATTCACAGATAAATATCCAATCTGTTGCCAAATGTAATAGCAGTGTTTCACACTATGCAATAAAGATGCTGGTAGTTGCGGTATAGGTCCGACAGGCAATTTTCATAACTATCCGCCATTGCCTTTTCCTCTGACCTCGTGTTTATGCTCTTTTTCCCATGCACTAGCATCAAGTCAATTCGAAGGATGCAGCCCCTGAATTTGGACACAGCTAATATTTAGCAAATCGCGCATGCTAGTTTAACTTGCATTACTGTGAGAGGCCGAATGCTTAAAATAAAAGGAGAGAGAAAGAAAGAAAGAAAGAAAAAATGCAAATGATAATAAAAAAAGTGAACAAAGACCATGTCTTGCAATAACCGTCATTTAAAACCAAAGTGAATGCTAACAGAGCTAGGTAGAAGTTCAATGAGACAACCATACTAGCTTTAGCTAACTTCATTTACTTTGAAAGTGAATTACAAACGTGTTAAATATTGAATTAAACATATCAATAACCGCTAAAACACTATAAGACTAACTGCAAAAACGGGTAAAAAAAAAAAAAAAAAAAAAAACAATGAAGTGGAAATGCTAATAATAGTATAAATATACCCAGAGCGGATTATAAATCAGGTATTAGACGGTACCGATTGGCACCGTCTAATACCAGATTTTCACTGTATTTGCTCCACTCCCGCTGTCTAATGACAACTTACACATTTGGAATTAAAAACATTGTTAAACAATTAATGGACAAAACAACTTCGTTTGACTAAGATATTTTGAGTTATTTATTACTTACCTGTATTGTGGAAGATTCCGCAGAGGGAAATGGCAGTCCACTGAACACATATAACTTCTCCGCGTTCCCGCCTCTTCACTTTTGGGAAGTTTGAGCATGCGCACTAGGCATCGGTTTTAGAGTTGTTGATTTAAAATAATTACATTTAATTGAACTGAAGAATGCAAATCTAGTTCATTAAACTTTTTGTTATTTTATGTTAAACCAACAACTGATAATGATTTAAAAACCTAAACTCAATATGTTCATGTTAAATAGACAAATGTCTATTGAATTAATCAAACAACTGCCTTAGTTGACTTTTTTGAGTGCAGGTGCAGTTCTTGATGCGGGTGGAGTCTGTCCATGTCCAGCTGCCCTTCATAACCACACAAAACCTGCCTGAAGATGCTGAGGTGAGGTGGATACGTGAAGAATCAGGTCCATCAGTGATGGTCCACGTGTATAAGAAACCCTCAGACCAGCCTGAAGAAGAGGACCAGGTTTACAAAGACCAAACAGAGATGAAAGAAGACCCTCTGAAAACTGGAGAGACAGTGGGAGGAAGGGAAACTTCATCAGACAAAAATGGTAGGTTTGTTTATTTGTTGTTTATTGGCTTGTGCTATTGTGTCTGACTGTCTTGTGTCTCCTCTGCAGGGAGAGTTCAGGTCCAGGATCAAACGGGACATCAGGAACAGAAGCAGCTCCATTGATCCGACTCCTCTGATGGCTGATCAATCAGTTTGATCTGTGTGTGACCAGTGCTGTGAGTCAAACAGCATGATCACAGGACCATAGTAATGCTTTTTGTTCTCATTTAATTTGCCTTTTTTTAAATTGTAAATTTGGTTTTAATGTAAAATATTATAATAATTATTATTCTATGAGTTCAACCTCCGTCACTCTGACCTTTGAACTTTTACTGCATTTTGTGGTTTGGCTGTTTCAGCGTTGTAACACAGAAACGCAGATTCTATTTTAAGTCCAGTTTCCTGTTGTTGGTGTTCAGATGTGGTGCAGCCCCCTCCACCCATCCTGTTTCCTTATCAGGACCCCCCTCCCCCTTCACTTTAGTGCTCCAGTCAAAACTGATCGGTCAGTTTTAACAGCTCTTAAATTAGCATAACAAACATTTTTCACCACCAAATACAGTTCAGTGGGTCGTCAGTGGGTCGTTCAGGCAATGGGGGGGGGGCATTTCCTATGGTTTGACCAGGAATACCGCAGATGTAACATGGTTGATTAAAACACTCAAAATTCAGTGAAAGAGGTGCTCATCACTTTTATATGTTCAAGTGCATAGTGGTGAGGATGTCATAAGGCCTCGAGCCAATCGGATGGAAAACACAATATTTATGAGTGTTTTAAGTTGTAAATTGGATTCGACCTGAACATGACAGGAAGGTTACTCATCTTTCTTCTCTGGACTGTTGGATAGAGTCATGTGACCTGCACAGGGACTACACATGGAAATGAGCAGCAGAGCTCAAATCTGTCAGCTTTCCATCTGCTTTTTTAGATCGGTTATTATCTGTTAACACACAAAATAAAAACAGCTGGCTGACCTTTAATCTAATCCTTGTTGTTCTTCTTCTGTGGTGTTTGTGATGGAGCAGGTGGTCCTGATGTGTTAGATGAAGCCAGGGTTCCTGCTGCTTCAGCAAAGTTTCAGTTTTGTAACAATTTAACAACAGCAAAATACACAAGATTCAAAACTGGTGATGCAAAGAGCTGAATTTCTTTTATTTAACATGTAAAATTTTAGAAAGCTGAATTTAAGCTTGCTTACTTAGGAAGAAATAAACTGAAATAGTCCACAAATTAGTCTCTACTGTTTATGATAATTATATTTTAATGAGAGATACAGAACATCACATAAAACTATAAGTTGGTTTTTGTAAAGGAAGATTTTATGTGTGTGTGTGTGTGTGTGTGTGTGTGTGTGTGTGTGTGTGTGTGTGTGTTAGTTATTGTCATTTAAAGTGTTTATGTGCTCAGTTGTGACACTGAACAGTCAACAACTAGCTGAACTTACTTTGACCTCGACATTTGAAGAAAACAACTGCTTTTTCTACATTATGAGTTTCTTAAAGTCATTTGAAACGGCGACATCTGTTTTGAACATGCTGGGTGAAGACCGCAGAGCCTGAGAAGAGGAAGTAAGTAGCTGATGTTATGGGAGGATAAGTAGGTGCCGCCACGCCTCGAGAGCTCAGAGCTCGCATGAGTGTGTTAACCGTCTGTTTCCTCTCCCATGCACATGGTCATATAGGCGTTTGTTACAGCTAACCGTGTCTGCAGACTTTGTTAATCTAAATTTCATCACAGTTTGTGTGTCAGTTCTTCTCAGAGAGTCTGCAGGACAGTTTGGTCTGGAAGCTCCTCCTGTGTCCTCGAGGATCAGAGTGTAAAATGACAAGTTTTGTGCCAGTGAACAAACACCTGCTGAACTTTGATAAAAACCTGATAACGTTCCCCCTCTGAGATCTCCATCATCAGCAGGCAAACAGTGAGATCGGCTCTGAGCTGCTCTGTGAACACAGACCACACTTTGTGCTTTAGACTGTTTGAAACTCCAGCATTCAAACAGTGGCGGATCTCGAAAATGTTACATGCGAGGGCCAGAAGAGGGGGATCAGGTCTATGCAGGATGGCACATTCCTCTCCACTGAAGTATGTGGAAACCCCCTATACACAAATGGAGTACATTTGTGCACAGTAACTGAAAACTCTTCAATATGAGAAGAAGGGAAAGCAACACCAGAAACAGCACACAGTAGACATAACTACCAAAATAAAATGTTACAACAGCAGAGAATACCTGACATGAAATTAGGGCGCACAGGAGGGCAGGAAAACCGGAAGCCCAGGGAATCAAAATGAAAGTAAAACTAAGAAACTCTGACAATAAAACTAAAACAGGAGATAAATCAAATACCAAACTCACAATGACACAAACTATGAACACTGTGCAAAAATACAGCAATCAAAGGCTTGTTTATTCACTTAATTAACCATTAAGTAAACCGTGTTCGCTATAACCTGCATGTATACCAACCAACTACATTTAATTTGACCAGATTATGATAAATGTAACATTTTACAGTGTACTTATGTAACAAAATACATGGAAAATTTACCTGTAATTAATTTAGTTAAAGTCAGAATTTTAGGCATGACCTTTTTGGGGGTCCAAACTCAAACTATGAAATAACAGTGAGGACAGTTCATCATATTATTATATTAATACTTTTTCTTTTTATTTGATTATTTATTCGTTTTTATTATTTTACACACACACACACACACACACACACACACACACACACACACACACACACACACACACACACACACACACACACACACACACATCCATCATTTATACAGCTTCTAAACTTACTGTCAGTTTTGCAAAACTAAAACTGTAATTAGGTCAGGTTACATTAATATAAACCCACGTGCATCAACCACGTGTTCCTGAAAGCAGCTCGCTGTCTGCAGTCTCTGTGCGCCCTGCTGCTTCTCCTCACTTTCATGTTTGGAGTTCTGCAGAAGGATTTTATTTTGAAGGCTCTGACAGGAAGTTGTGAGGTGTCTCTGTGTAACTTCAGAGGAGGAAACTTTGTTCAGTGCGTCAGGGGTGCTGTGATCGAGCTGTGTGCGCCTGTTTCTCAGAGTTAACGGGACTTTCAGCGGAGAGGAAGATGCTGCTGTGGCTCGTGCTGCAGGTCCTCGGTAAGAAAGCACACACGCAGACTGACACACACACAGTGTGTAACACGAGCTGACTGCATTAGGCCCCTCTGTGTAGTTACTGTGGTCCCTACATGCGATATTCATGCGGGGCGGGTCTCACCGTGACAGCTGAGCTCATCATCCTGATATCTGCGCGTGTCTGTTTAAGAAGTGCGTCAGCGCTCGTGTGCGTGTGATTCACGGCAGGAATAAAAGTACTTTGTATAAAAACTAAAAGCTTGTCTCACAATATTAAAAGCCCCGTTTACCATAGAAAGCACTTTAATGTGTCAAAAATGGTTTTTGTTCACAATAACGCCACGTGCACAATCATCTATGTTCAAGTTCACTGATTAATAAAGTTATAACAATCCTAAAACAACAAATAGACATTTTTTTTTTTTAATTCAACACCAGATGTTACTCTGTGTTTATACATTTTTAATGCTTAGTCTCAGAATAACTTGTGTCCTGAATTGCCCCCTTATAGAAATCCCCCTGAACAGGTCCCCTCCCTGGTCCTCTGGTCACATGACTTACAGTAAAGTCCACAGTAGAGATGGTCTTTTTTGTTTTTCATACATTAGAATGTCTCACTGTGACTGTTACTGTACAAACTGATGTCTTTGTACATTTGGTGTTCATTTCATGTCAGGAGATAGAACAAATGTGAAGACTAGGAAATATTAATGCATTATAATATTTTTATTACATTTAAGAAGTGTTATATATGCTGGTGGTACCAGGACAAACGTCAGTAAAGGTGTCCATGTAAAAGTGTGTTTAGATGTCGAGGTCAGGTGGTACAGCTGCAGAAGTGTCACTTCATGAAATCAGTATGTTCTTAAAAGCTTTAGCAATATTACGTTTCTCAAACTGTTTTTAACGGCTGTTATTATGGTTGTTATTTTTATTTCATGGGGTTGAAAAAACTGGCATGAAAAATGTTTCATCTGCTTAATGAGAACTTCCTTCTTTTCTAAGCCCGACACATGAAAACAAATCAAAATTGGTTTAGTACGCACGTATTCACAGTTGTGATGTCACCCCTGCTTGTTTATTAACACGTTCTTCGTTTGCAGATTACAGTCAAGGATTAAAAGCACTTCATTCGTAACAGAGACTAGTCTCAGAACGTTTCACCTCCGTGTTTTTCAGACGTGCATCAAAGTTTTCTTTGATGTTTTTAAAGCATCCTTCGAGTTACTTTTTGTTGGATGGGAAGAATTCATGTTTGAGTACTTAGCAGAAAATGTGGCTTCTGAAACCACTTTTCCCACGATGTGAACCACTAGAAAAATCCACAGCATACAGGTGATTAGTGTTTTTTGTTTTGTGTGCTTGTGTCTCCTTCCAGTTTCCCAGCATGCCCTGGCTGTGGTGGTGGAGGTGTATGAGGGGGCAAAGTCTGTCCAGCTGCCCTGTCAGTACACAGGTCTTACACTTACGAACCCCACAGTGCTGTGGACTCGCAATGATCTCGACCCCAAATCTGTCCACGTGAGACGAGAGGAAACAAATGATGTAACAGGACAAAATCAGCGTTACAGCGGGCGCACATCAGTGAGGCCTGATGCTCTGGACTCTTTAGACTTCAGCCTCACTCTGAGAAACCCTCAAATGACTGATAGTGGCAACTACACCTGCTCCATCAGAAATGAAAGGGCAGAACTGAAACTGACCGACGTACAGCTGCATGTCAAAGGTAAGAAACACAAACAAACAAAAAGAAAAATGTCAAACTAAGGTTGATAGAAAAGGAATTTCTTTTGTTGAAAACTGGAAAATGGCATTAACATTTTCCAGATGTAATCAGTCTGCAAACATCAAAATCTCACAGGTAGATGTTTGGTGTTTCTACTAAATCTGGATGATTTGATTCAGAAGGTTTTACATCCTGTATACGCAAGAAAACCTGCAGCTCACAGGTCTAATAGAGATCGATGTACAACATGTAACAGAGGATGTCATTTTAAGAAGATAAACTTGACCTCTGGAACTATGAATGACAGGATGATAAAGTGCTGCCAGCTGTTCTTTATTCCAGAAGAATCCACTTCCAATCAAGTAGCTTTCATTGATTCATTTATTGAACAGGAAGCAGGGTTATGCATTCATAATGTGAGTGTGGAGGTAGTGTGGTAAGGGGGTGTTATACAAGTGCCAACATGAGAAATTAGTGACGCTCCCTTAATGGCCTCAAGCTGCCACTTGTGGCACGTCTGGAGGAAAGGCAGATCATTTTGAATGTTGTGGATCCAAAACTTGGCACCGCCTCCATCTATGATGGCCCAGGAGCTCCGTTTCTGGGTAGATGACCTGAACGTACCTGCATCAGGCCGCCGCATCAACAACATGTTGGGAGGGATTGAATCAAAATTAGCTACATTTGAGGGGACATAAACATAACCAGGGGCTTGGAGTTAACGATGCCCTCTACTTTGCTAAGTATGGTCCTAAAGACTTCTTCAGTGACATGCTCCGAGATGGTGTAGAGCTGACTTGATGGAACAAATCTCCCGTTCCCACGAACCACCGTGTGGAGCGTATGGAGGGTTGAAATGGAGATGCTGGCTGGCCAACTGTTTTCAGAGCAGGGCCGAGATGCGATCCTTGACATGACGATGAACACCAGGTGCTGCCATCTGTACTGTGGATGTACCACATGTAGTGAAATGTATATAAAATTTGAATAGACACTGAGGAGTGGAGGCCTAGTGTAGGAGAGCTTTGGCTGGACCCTGCAGAATCCAAGTCGGTACAGTACAGCTGGTCCTCTTCATGGATCCAGATGTGCAGGCTCCACTGGAGTCAGGAAATGTGGGTAATCAGAGCCAATCAGCAACAGTGGTTGAGCTTGATGGAACAGCCCATATGACCAATCATGATCGTGTATGGTAAATGGCCTGCATTTGTATAGCACTTTAATTAGTCCCTAATGACCCCAAAGCGCTTTACACTACATTCAGTCATCCATCCATTCACACACACACACACATTGGTGATGACAGCTACCTTGTAGCCACAGCTGCCCTGAGGCACTGACAGAGGCGAGGACACTGGCGCCACTGACCACCACCAGTAGGCAAACATGGGGTTAGTATCTTGCCCAACGGGGCAGCCTGGGTTCGAACCACTGACCTTCTGATTAGTGGCTGACCTGCTCTGCCACCTGAGCTACAGTGTATGTCTCTATCTTTATTTACACACATGTTCTGTTGCTTGTTAGTTGTTACCTAAAGGTAGCACTGTGAAGACTATTTGTATGGATTTTATAGTGTCCAGTTTAGTTACCATTTTAAACAAAAAGAGAGAGAATCATGATATTTATATATTATTAATATGTATTTTTACTGGTAGCAGAGATCAGAGCACATCAATTCTCTCTTTACCATGAGCATGGCTGCTGCTGCTTCTGATATTATGGTTCATTTTCCTCGTAGATCAGCAGGTGGAGGTGAAGGTGGAGGAAGGGTCAGACTCTGTCATCCTGCCCTGCAAAACAAAACCTGATCTGCCTGAAAAGGCCACAGTGGAGTGGACTCGCCCCGACCGAGAACTCACTATGGTCCATTTGTATGTAAACAGAAGTGACCATCCTAAAAATGTAGACAACCTTTACTGTGGCCGCGCAAAGATGAACAAAGACCTGCTGAGAACTGGAGACCTCAGTCTGACCCTGGAATACCCCACAGAGAGAGACAGTGGAGGATACATCTGCACCATCTACAGGGACAAAGACATCCTGAGACAGAAAGTAGTGCTGCAGGTCAAAGGTCAGAGATGTGGACAAACATCAGGGGTCAGTGCAGGAGATTGAGGTTCAACAGTCATGTTGATATTGTTTCATGTTTCTCCACAGAACCATTTCCATCCTGGACCACAGCTCTCCTGGTTCTCCTGGGTCTTCTTCTAGTAGTTTCTGCGGGTCTTATATTTCAATTCCGTCATTATTTGGTGTCAGGTGGGTGTCTCCTACTACACTACCCATAATGCCGATGGTTAGCAGAGCTGAAGAGAAACTTCCAAGTTTTTTCCTGAAGTCAGAAAACCTCCTTCAGACTCCGTCATTGATCAGTGAACTCAATCAAAACCCTCTGTTCACTTGGAAAAATGATGGAGAAACAGTCTAACACTTGTGTCTCCATCATGCTCCAAAACGTTGTTGCTTTGACTCTCGTCTGTGGGTTTTTATCAAGATGAAGGAATCCAGAAGAAGTGTAATAATAACAATATTCAAGAACATCAGTGAGGTGCAGATTGTTTGCAATATTTGGTTAAAGGTGCCTTAGTGAGTTGCACTTCAATGAAAAGTACTAATATGAATGGGGATTTAAATATTTACTCAACAAGACAAAGATGATGTTTTCTATAAGGAAAAGGTAGAAAATGAGGTCAGGCACAAGTTACAAGATCAAGTTAAATGTTATGCGATTAAACAATTCAAGTTTAGTATACATACGTCACAGTGCTGTTAGCTGCTCAGTGCGTAGAAAATATGAGACCGTTAATTGATTGATAATACTTTATTCATCCCGAGGGAAATCGGGTTAAGGCTGCCAGCCGTGCCAGCGCCATCTTGCCCTTCCGACCATACATACATTACACAAACATCACATGGGGAAGACAGGTCAGAGAGGTATAACAATGGAAAATGTACAACATGAGGAAAGACGAGGAGAAAAAATAACTCCCCCAGACTGAGCTTCAACTGGGAGATCAGGGGGGTGAGTGCAGGTCTGCGTGATGCGTATGTGTTCTGTGTTCAACCGAGAGAAAGTGTCCCTTCACTCGGTTAAGCTAAAGTCAACAATCTTCGATCAATGCGGGTGGCCTTGAATGAGGGGAAAGAGAGTCACAACAAAAAGTCTTATTATCTAAAGGAGAGTTTTGTTATTTCCGTCAGCTTTTGCCTTGAGCTTCCAGCTGGTGCCAGGGGGGCCGCATGAGATGAAGATGGTAGTTGTTTTGATTAGGGCGAAAAAACTGCATCCAGTTTTACAGCTGGTGTAATGTCCGTCACTGGTCACCAGGTCTGAGTACTCACAACCCATCGTCTATCATGTCGGCCAGCCTTGTGAGATTTTGAACAGCTGTAGCCGCTTCTTGTTCTTCAATAAGCCAGGCCTGAGCCAGCTCCAACCAGCCAGAACTCTGTTACCATAGTTCTGAATTGGTAGACGTCGTTCAGTGTCCTCCATCAAGAGTGTCGCCAGACACACGACGCAACCGACCATCGAGTATCTGGCAGCAAACGTCTCCGCAGGACAATCGGGCTCTCTCAATTCCCGGAGAGTGTCAGTTTCGTTAAGGCACCAGTTGATCAAATCCATAATTCTTCTTTAGGTTTTTAGAGAACAAGTCTGGGAGACTCTCTTAGGGTTAGAGAATAATCAAGACTATACAATAGACATGAGAAGCCAAGCAGTTTTAAATTTCTGTCAGTGTCAGGATCTCTATCCTGTTCCTCCTGCTCAGATCTGCTTCCGTCCTTCAGTTTTCTCTACACCTCTGAATACCTGCTGCTGTCTATGTTTGCTGTTCTTTCAGTGATTCCGGTGAAGGTGGAGGTGGAGGAGGGGGCGGAGTCTGTCCAGCTGCCCTTCAAAACCACAAAATTCCTGTCGGGGGAAATTCAAGTGATATGGGAACGTTATGAGCCGTTCCAGAAGGCTCACGTGTTTACAAACGGCCCAAACCAATATGAAGAACAGCACGAAGTTTATAAAGGCCGAACTGTGATGAACAAAGACCTGCTGGAAACTGGAGACCTCAGTGTGACCCTGAAACAGCCCACAGAGAGAGACAGTGGAGAGTACAAGTGTTTGGTGTGGAGGAAGGGAACCTTCATCAGAAAGAAAACCGTGAAGCTCAAAGTCAAAGGTTGGTTTGTCTGTTTGTTTGCTGGCTTGTGTGATTGTGTCTGACTGTCTTGTGTCTCCTCTGCAGGTCCAGGATCAAACAGGGGACATCGGGACCAGAAGCAGCTTCATTGATCCGACTCTGAGTTTTACCCTCACCACTCTGCCTTTTTGTTCATTTAGAGAGTTTTAATGTCACAGCGTGATAATACAGGAACACACATTTCACTTTTAAGTCCAGTCACATCCTCACTCTGTCTCTGCTGTGTGCACAGTCCTTCACTGTGTGTGATCAGCTATTGTGTGACGTTCCATATTCCTCATCTGTTTCTCACCATCTTTACAGTCTGTGCTGTTTAACCTTTTTAAGCCATTTTTGGGCTTTTTCTAAACACTTTCAAATAAAGGTTTTACTTCACTTTATTTCACTTATCATTTGGTTTTCTTGTGTCTTTTTTATGCATTATGTTGCACACATAGATTAGTGTTACCTTTGTGTTTATTTTGGGGTTTTGTTTGTTGTCTTTTTAAGCTTTGTGTGTATTTGACTTTTGCAAATTAAAATGAAGAAAATATTTTGGTAATTGTTGCGATGCCAACAGAAGGTTGTTATTTTTACATTGTGATGGAAATGGAGAGCGGAACCAACTAAGTGGAACCAGTGGGCTGTGAGGTGTTGCACCTGGTGAAGGCGAGGGACCCGTGCTCTCCTCAGAGGAAGACAAATGAGAGGCCTGTGTGTTTGTTCCTCTGACAGCTTCAGCTGTTTTTCACCTGCTTGTCTTGAGGCAACTGTTATCATGATTTATAAATAAAACTGAGTTGAACTGTTTGGGTTCACAGTGCACTGAATGCATCATTTGCTACTGTGGTGCAACCAGTGTTGGGACCATGTGACCTGTCCAGAGTGTACAGCTGGAAATAAGCAGCTTAACTACAATCTGACTGGTTTCCATCACTATGTTTCTGATTCATTTACATTAACTCACACTGTCCCTGTTCAATAAAAACAACAGGCTAACCGTTAATCTGATCCAGTGTTCTTCTTCTGTGGTGTTTGTGATGGAGCAGCTGCTCCTGATGTGTTTGATGAAATCAGGGTTTCCCACAGCTTCAGGAAGCTTACCCACTGTGCAAACTTGATATCATGAATTGAGCCTTTTATGAGCCATTTCTGGACGTCCAGTGTTGGGTCTTTTTTTCTGAACATTTACTGACTGTTACCTTCATGCACCGGCTGTTTATAGTCCACATGTGTGTTTAACCTCAAACGTAAACTCATTTTAGATCGTTTTCACACTCCGTCTATCGGCTCTGTAGGCCCATGTTTCCAGAGTGTGGACGACATGTTTTCTGTCTGTTCTCAACTTTCTATGAGCCTCCAGTCATCCTCTGCGACAGAGGAGACAATTAAATGAAGTTAGTGGAAAATATTTTGTAACAGAAACATGTCCTCTGTAAAAATGTGTGCAGAGTGATCAGCGGACATCTCCAACATGGCACAAGTTCATTACCTTTTAAAAATTATTACAAACATTTTCTTAATACTTATAATACTTAATTCTTTAATCATTATTAATTTGTGTGTTTTTTTAACACATAAGAACTGCTGCAGGAGTGAAAGAGGAAAACTCAAAAAAACAAAGTCATGAGCTTGAAGAGTTGAATTTTATTTTTAAAGCTATAAAAACATTTTTCATAGGTTCAAAACTTATTGTCAATTTTGCAGAACTTCAACATAGAGAGACTAAAACTGACGTCCTTCCTTTCAAACCTTCTTTTCAGCTTCAGGTTCCAACAGAATATAAATCCACATGTTGCTAAAAGTTGTCAGTAGTCTGTGTGAGACATGCTGTAACGCAGGGGTGCCCAATCCCGGTCCTCGAGAGCTACCGTCCTGCAGCTTTTAGATGCATCCCTACTCCAACACAGCTGAATCAAATGGTTTGATCTCTTCAGCATGCCATCATGTTTGGCAAAGGCCTGATAACAAGCCATTCATTTGATTCAGGTGTGTGGGAACAAGGATGCATCTAAAAGCTGCAGGACGGTAGCTCTCGAGGACTGGGATTGGGCACCCCTGCTGTAACGCTTCTCCTCCGAGTTTAATGTTGAAAGTCCTTTTCTGTAAAGGATTTTATTTTGAAGGAACTCAGGAGGGTCTTCTTATCAGGAAACTTTTTGTCGTGCACCAATGCTTGCAGTGCAGCGAACACCACTGTGATTTCTAACTAAAGGTTTTTCCCAGAGAAGGAGATGCTGCTGCTGTTGTTCGTGCTGCTGGTACTCGGTGAGAGCGCTCTTTGAATGCACACACACACACACACGGTTGTTTAAAATAATTTGAAGTGTGTAACATGTATAACTACTCACCTCAGTTACTTTACTCCTGCTGAAATCTGCAGGCTTCATGCTCATGATCCTGGTATCTGCTCATCTGTTTAAGAAATTTTCCTTTCTTGTCTCACTAATATTACCAGAATACTGCCTGTAGTGAAGTTTGGCCACATTAAAGGTTATAAAAGAAGCCTGGTGCCAGATCTATTGTAGATTCAGCTAAATAAATGGGAACAGTGTGCTTTTGCAGCAGGTCAGTTGTAACAAAGTGCTGTGTAGTCCCCACACTGGTTCATCCTGGTGCCTTTTTAAGCTTCACTGATTCACAGGTCATTGTTAAACTTAACAAACAACATTTAGTTTTTGTTTTATTTGTAACAGTTTGTTCCAAACGCACAAATGTGCTCTGGTCTTTTTAAATTGATGACTTTTGGCTGTGCAGTGTTCCAGGTGTGTCAAAGCACCAGATGTCTGATATGGAAGACCAAGAGATTCACACACATTGACATAAAGCTTTTTTGATTTGGTAAATACATGTTGGAATTAATTTTAAAATTTACTTTGGAGACTGACCTGGATTTTTTCTAAGCTCCTGTTTGAACCATTAGCTCTGCTTTAGCATTACTAACAGGTGTGTGTGCTCGTTTAAAGGACTTTTCGCTCCAGCATTCACACTCAGTGCAACATTGAACCTCTTAAGCTAATGTGCTAAAAAAAGCTAATGCTAGCACCAGTGCATGTTTGTGTTACTCTAACCAATCAGAGAGCTCCTTTCATCACACTGCATGGCTGATTTGTTAACTGATTTCATAGTTATTTTCAAAAACATCTTTAAAACCTGAAAATTGAAAAAGTACTTTCAGGGCTCTAGAGTGCGACCAATTTGGTCGCAAATACGACCAAATTTTTCAGTGGTGCGACTAAAAAATATTTGGTTGCATCTGTGCGACCAAATGTTCGGGTAGCAAAAAAAAAAAAAAAATCTGCAACCTTCCCTGTGGTCAACAACAGACACACATTTTGCCCCTATCGTGGACTAAACCAATCAGAGATAGTCAGGGGCGGGACCTCTCTGATTGGCCGTGGTCCAGTAGAAAGTGTAGGTGGAAGTGGGAGGTGAGTAGCTTGAATAAAGCGATATCAATTCATTAAATCCTGAATCGACTTTTAAACATAACTGTGTTTTGCCAGAAACGCCAGATTCTCAGATTAAAGCTCACAAAACCATTTCAACAACAACCAAACAGCAGATGAGAGCAGGTACACGGACTCCACACAAAGACGTAAACACAGAGCCGACGCATCAGAATTAGCTTTGTCTTTCTCGGCTTTCTCACCCGACGGCCCGCAGACGGACACGCTGTCGGAGCTTAGCGATCCTGATGCGTCCGCTGTGTTTACGTCTTTTTGCGCTGATTCTGAGCTGCAGGTTTTGTCTCTCCAACCAAATATCACCGAGCCAGCAGCAAAAGAAGCAGCAAACTGCGCTTCACATTTGATCAATGTCGTCATGAATTTTGCTGTTTTGCTTCCACGACTATTAAAATCACACTTCATGCACAGCTAGCTCTCTCTCTCTCTCTCTGTACTTCAAGAACAGTTTCCGTCTCCAATCTCTGTTTTCTGTATTATTCATTCGCTTATTACCCACCAGTCTACCGTTGTTTACAGGCTGTGGCTGCTGTCTTTTTCTTTTCTTTTTATTTTTTCACTTAAATGACCTCGGACAAGAAAGCCTATTTTTTTCTGTTGTTCAATACTGAAGAAATTTAAACTTTATATGCAGAACATTGTAGAATATTTTTAAGGTTTTCTGCTATAAAAAGCCAGACCAGAAAAATCTCCTTCATGTTTTTCTGTGTTTTATTCTCAGTTACTTTCACACAAAGGCATCTGCTGTGATGTTCACAATTCTGATGAAGTCAGTACTGATAAGTGATCAGAATTATAATATTTCTGACTGTCTGAGGCCAAGTTGAATCGAATCGGGACTTTGAAAACCGGAATCGATTATAGAAATCAGTGATGATACCCAGCCCTATGAGCAGCCTCGGCACGACAGAAGTGGATGTAGCTGTAATAGGAAAAGAACTATTGCTAACTTTTCTGTTAAGTTAAGGCCTGATCCTTCTGAAATTCATAGCCAGTGCTCTGACACGTGTCATCAATCTTTGAATGCTGAAAAAGCACAGTGTATCCAGAAAAACACATTATATTATATCAATTATTATAAAATGTGTGTGCGCCTAACTTTTTAAAGTTAGGCGTACCGTGCTTTTTTTAAATTTCATCTTCAATTTGACGTCCTTATTACTGGAGTGATAGTAGATCTGGAAATATTTACTATCAATGATTCTTTTTTAATTAAATTATCACATAATAATTAACTTTGTAAGTGTCCAACTAAATAAAAGAAAAATGATTAGCAGATTCCCACCCTCATTTTCAAGTACATTTTGTGATGAAGACATACACGCTCTCGCTCGCTCTCTCTCTCACACACACACACACACACACACACACACACACACACACACACACACACACACACACACACACACACCATGATAAGATTTAAGTGGATTTATGTAGCTGTGAATTTTTAGATGTTTATTTTCCAGATGTTGTACATTTGTTGTTCTTTCTCTTACCAATAGAGCAGTTGGCGATATGCTGTTCATTTCTATTTGTGCTCTAGTCATTTATTACATCTTCCTAAAGTCTCCTCCACCCATGTTTTCCTCCTGCCTGTCCTGCCTTAGACATCATCATACTGTACACCAGATACATTTTTAATAACTGAAACAACACAAATAGAAATTAAGAAACAAAAAGATAAAAGAAACACATGAACCAGAGGAGACGGAGCTGATCTTGGCAACAGAGCATTCGCATCATAATTCTGATGCTGCCTCAGAGGGCAGGATTTAAGAAGGAGAGAAGAAAATTCACGAGTCGATGAGTTTACTGATGCACTGTAAGAACGTCCTGAGTTCACTGCAGCATCTGGCCTTTCTGTGTGGAGTTTGCATGTTCTCCTCGTTTATGAGTGGGTTCTCTCAGGATTTCCTCCCACAGTCCAAAGACATGCAGTCAGTGGGGTTGAGGTTAATCTGTGATTCTAATTTGCCCGTAGGTGTGAATAGTTGTCTGTCTCTGTGTCAGACTAATGGGTCTAATTGCATAATTAGATATCCACTATCTGTGGCTATCCATTAGATAGCTTGAATTCATCTCGTGCAGTCTTTCAACAGTTCATGGGAAACCCAGACAGCAATTTTCTGTTATCTGAAACGTAGCTCCTGCAGTGCAGCTACACTTTCTACATACACCTGTGTATGTAGGTCAGGGGTCACTGAGCTTACCGAGCCAATAATTAGTTCTAAAGGTTTTAGAATCAATAAAATGACAACAGTGCCCAAATTTATGCACCCGCCTGATTTTGTTTAAACAATTATTGCACACTCTCTGTAAGTCCAATAAACTTCATTTCACTTCTCAAATATCACTGTGTGTCTCTTATATGATATATTTAACTGACATTTTTTATTGGAACAACCAATGATTTATACAGGAAAATAATGACTATTAACAAAGTTGCCCAAACTTTTGCATCCCACTGTATGGAAAAGCTCTTTTTTAGAGCTTTATCATTTCACACATAAATGATATTAAACCTTTCCACACTTGCTCAGATGTAGGGAGAGAAAAATCAGGGGGATTTCTGTCTCTTTCTATCCTCATTATATGGGCTAATTACAGTTAATTAGTGTTTCTGTTTTTGTGTCTCCCAGTTTCGCATCATGTCCTGGCTGTGATGGTGGAGGTGTATGAGGGGGCAAAGTCTGTCCTGCTGCCCTGTCAGTACACAGGTTTTGTAGTTGAGGACCCCACAATGATATGGACTCACACTGATCTCAACCCCAAATCTGTCCATCTGAGACAAGAAGAAACTAATGATCTGAGCGGACAAAAACAGCGTTACAGTGGGCGCACGTCAATGAGGCCTGATGCTCTGGACACTGGAGACTTCAGCCTCACTCTGAGAAACCCCCGACTGACTGATAGTGGCAACTACACCTGCTCCATCCGCACTGAAAGGGAGGAACTGAAACTGACAGACGTACAGCTGCATGTCAAAGGTCAAAAACCCCAATAACCTTTGTAATTACAAGTCAAACATGAGTACAGTGCTGACACAGGTCAGAGGTCACAGCAAAAGGTAGTAGAAAGGGTCTTTCTAGTAATCTAAACCTAAAAAATGGCAGAAACATTTTATAAACACAACCAGTCTGGAAACATCAAAACAAAACTGGGGAGACAAAGAGACCATGACTGAGGAAATCTGAGTTAAACTAGCATGAGCACACTGAGGACAGGACACAGAGACAAACTGGTCTGACTAAAAAAAGTCAGATGCACTAAAAGAATACAAAAGTCATATAAAATAGAATGTAAATATAATAGAAAACTCAAATATGAACATTTTATAATTGCAGCTCAAAGACTGGGTCAAAGACACAGGACCATCTCAAACACAGATGCTTTGATTATCATCAGTGTGACTGCTGCTGCTGATACTGTGGTTTCTTGTTCTCTCAGACCAGCAGGTGGAGGTGAAGGTGGAGGAAGGCTCAGACTCCGTCATCCTGCCCTGCAACACAACACCTGACCTGCCTGAGGACACCACAGTGAAGTGGACTCACTCTGACCGAGAACTCATGATGGTCCATGGGTGTTCAAATGGAAGCGACCACCAGGACGACCTTTACTGTGGTCGCACAAAGATGAACAAAGACCTGCTGAGAACTGGAGACCTCAGTCTGACCCTGAAATACCCCACAGAGAGAGACAGTGGAGGATACATCTGCACCATCTACAGGGACAGAGACATCCTGAGACAGAAAGTAGTGCTGCAGGTCAAAGGTCAGAGATGTAGCTACAGGTCAGAGGTCAGTGCAGATTGAGTGCAGCGTTCAGCAGTCATGTGATATTGTTTTGTTTGTCCACAGAACCGTTTCCATCCTGGGCCACAGTTCTCCTGGTTTTCCTGCTTCTTCTTGTAGTTGTTTCTGCGAGTCTTTTGTTTCATTTCCGTCATGCCTTGGTGTCAGGTGAGTCTCTCATACTACACTACCCATAATGCATATAGTTAGCAGGTGTCCTCTGGGGTTTCTTGACTTGTTCCGCTAATTTATTCATTAATATGTAAATATTTAATTTGAATATTAATGATCAAAGAGGATCAGAGTGTAAAAGGAGAAGTGAACAAACACCTGCTGAACTTTGACCTCCAGGAGAAAACCTGGTAACGTTCCCCCTGTGAGAACAGCGAGATCTGCTCTGAGCTGCTCCGTAAACACAAATCAGACTTTGTGCTTTAGACTCTTTGAACCTCCAGCATTCAGTGAAGCTACAGATGGATGATTCAAACAAGACATGGTATTTCTCTACACCTCTGAAAACCTGCTGCTGTCTGTGTTTGCTGTTCTTTCAGTGATTCCAGTGAAGGTGGAAGTGGAGGAGGGGGTGGAGTCTGTCCAGCTGCCCTTTAAAACAACAAAACACCTGTCGGGGGAAATTCAAGTGATATGGGAACGCTACGAGCCGTTCCAGAAGGCTCACGTGTTTACAAACGGCCCAAACCAATTTGAAGAACAGCACGAGGTTTACAAAGACCGAACTGTGATGAACAAAGACCTGCTGGAAACTGGAGACCTCAGTGTGACCCTGAAACAGCCCACAGAGCGAGACAGTGGAGAGTACAAGTGTTTGGTGTGGAGGAAGGGAACCTTCATCAGAAAGAAAACTGTGCTGCTCAAAGTCAAAGGTTGGTTTGTCTGTTTGTTTGCTGGCTTGTGTGATTGTGTCTGACTGTCTTGTGTCTCCTCTGCAGGTCCAGGATCAAACAGGGGACATCAGGACCAGAAGCAGCTCCATTGATCCGACTCCTCTGACGGCTGATCAATCAGTGTTATGACTGCTGTCGTAATGTTGTCTCTCATATGCACCTGGAGACGGTGCCTGCAGATTGGCTAACTACATGGAGACAACATATTTACACAGCAGCATGTAGGGGTGGACTGCCTTTGTATTTGATCGCTGTTTTCTCCTGTTTTTGTTAGTTTTGGAGGTACGCTGCTGTCATTTGGTTTAATTTCTTTGAGTATGTTGTTTGTATCATTGTCTCAGGGACCAAGCAGTAAAGCATAAAGGACACAGATGTTTAATTAAAAAATTGGGTTTTATTGACCCAAAAGTATAAAAAGATATTTAACAAAGCCAAAACTTAAACAGGCAGACCAGCAAAACAGGTCAACTCAATAGACTAAGCTCAAGGTAACAATTAACGAAACCTCAAGCAAACATAAGACAAACTGACCTCCTGAAATGACACACGGGGGAACATTAATACTGGTTTAGCTATAACACATGACACACACAGAGGAAAACAAAATGGCTGCCATATAACCAACTAATACAAAACAATTAAACAAACTTGAAACACCCTCCAGGCAATGAGGCATGACGGTTGACAGTGGTACTTCAGCTCTCCCAGCCCTTTGCCAGACCGGAGAGGAACCAAACCCCAGGTGACTCACACACAGGAAGATGTATTAATATAAAACAGAACTTTGGCCTTGCAGTGTTCACATGTTGTGTGGAGGCGAGGAAGAAGGAACCCAAACGCAGGACTGGCAGGTAGGTGAGGTTTATTATAAGGAGTGGGTGAACGGACACTGACTGGCTGGACAACTGAATGGCGGACTGAACTGAGGGAACACACGGGAAGGACAACATCAATGACACGACAGTGAACGAGTAGAAAGAGAGGGCTTAAATACACAGACTGATGAGGATGATAATGAGTACACCGATCTCTCATTTGGTGCCGGGCTGCGAGAGTGAGACTCGGGTGTGAAATGTATGGTTTTCAGGGTTTTTATCGGTTTTCAGCGTTATTTTGTTTTCGTTTTTTCGTTAACTCGGTTTTCCTGGGTCTTTTCACGTGTGTTATGAATAAATCTTATTTTTTTCGGTACCGGTACTGGTTTTATTTTGTTGTATTTATCCGCGACACCTTAAAGGCCGGTCCGTGAAAATATTGTCGGGCACAAACTGGTCCGTGGCGCAAAAACGGTTGGGGACCGCTGGTCTAGACGGGCCGTAACAATCAGTTTGATCTGTGTGATTGATCAATGATGTCAAACAGCATGATCACAGGTCCATAGTAACGCTTTTTGTTCTCACTCGCCTTTTTTAACTTGTCAATTTGGTTTGATCTAACATATTATAATAATTATTGTTCTATGAATTTAACCTCGGTCATAACAATTTAATCTGATCCAGTGTTGTTGTTCTGCTGTCGTGTTTGTAATGGAGCGGCTGCTCCTGACTACAGATGGATGATTCAAACAGGACATGACACACAGAGAAGGAGGAGTAGAAGAAGAAAGCTGAATGCCTGTAATGATGATCTGCATGGATCAGAGGAACAGTGAGAAAACTTGGAGGAACCTTTAAGGAACAATGTAAAGACAGAAAAACAGGAAACACACTGCTGAGCTTCAGATTCAGAGTCTGAAACAGCAACAACTATTTAGTGTGTAGTGTATATGTTGAGCTCTGAATGTGTGGAAGAGTCCAGCAGACAGTCTGAGTCTGTTTGGCTCTACTGAAGTCTGGATGCAGATCATGGAGGAATTTCTCACTTCAGGCTCTGATCCTGTTCTTACACAGTGAGGTTTTGTCTCGTTTTCTTCATCCTGCTAAGCTGTTCGTGTTCAACACTACAGAGGGAACAAATCCACTCAGTGGTTTAGTTTGGTTGGAGGAAGCAGCTCATCTGAGGTCATTTGATCATCAGGTTGATTTGGATTCATTGAACATGACGGTATTGCTATTTGAAGTATGATCGTATTGATGGTCATAACACAGACAGCTGCTCTGACTTTCTAGATTTCTTTCTTTCTCTTTATGTACCCCCAAATTACAAAAACAGTCGTCTCAAGATGCTTTAAACTCTAAGCCTGTGTAGTGTCTCAGTCATCCAGGTCATGGTCGTCTAAGCAGTTTGGAAAAAAAGTGAACAAACATAGAGTATGCTGTGCAGAGCAGCGAGCAGTTCTCAGACCTACACTGGAGACACCAAGCAGCCACTTCATGCTCTCTCTCTCTAGTCCCTGTCAGGACTCTTGCTGCAGCATTTTGCATTAGCTGAAGGCTTTTCAGGGAGTTTTTAGGACTTCCTGATAATAATGAATTGCAGTCGTCCAGCCTGGAAGTAATAAACGCATGAACTAGTTTTTCAGCGTCACTCTGAGACAGGATATTTCTAACTTTAGAGATGTTGCACAAATGGAAGAACGCAGTCTTACATATTTGCAAGTGTTATCTGGCTTCATGGTTAAAGCTGGGTGTCATCTGCATAGCAGTGAACACCTGTTCAACCACTCACACTGTGATGTGCATGAAAATGAAGCTCCACAGGCTGTTGGACAATAAGCGTTATAGTTTCAGTTGGTCCAGTTTAATGTGCAGCCATCACCTGAGAAATAATCAGCAGCACTGAGAGCGCGCTCAGCAACAAAACCTGGACTGGAAGCAAAACCTTTATTTCACTGCTCTGTGCTTTAAATCAGCAGGTTAATGATTTGCTGCAGCATTCGTTTTCACAATAGTGTTCTTTTATAGATTTTTCATCCCTATCTGATAATGTGTTTTAGTAGGTGGAGCTCGTAGGGATCATTTTTTGTGGAGTCATGTGATCCATCTAACACCCCCTTTGATTGGTTACATGCTGCCAGCCCCGCCTCTTTCATGTGAACGTATGAGCAAACTGTGGGTTAACTTCCCTTTTGTCCAGTTTGGGTTTCACACAATTTTATTATTGTGTGACATTTAGAGGAGGACGGTAAACCTGTCCTGGTCGAGGAGGTGAGATTGCTGTTGTTCTCTGCAGTGGTCGCAGTGGTTTAAGCATTCAAACGACAAACTCTGTAACATGAGTTTACTAAATGAAGCCCCTCACTGTAGTTTACTTTATTTCTGTAAAGTCGTACTATGATCGTCCTAAAAACTTGATTCTGTTCATCCGGATGTAGATCCAAGTGACAGACTCACCTCCGTCCCCTCAAACAGATCACTCAGTGATGGACGTGTTCGTACAGCAGCTACTTTCAGCTGCTCCCTCATCACAAGACGCTGTCACAGCACACAGCTCTGCATGTTTTACACCAAATGCAACACAAAGGCGATTATTGTCACCACTGAACATGTTAACCTCTACACTATGGAGCCATAAACCTCTGTTCTTACAGTACAGTATGCTTTCATTAGATGAAAGCACAAACTACCAATATGCTCATATCTGGTTTCTTCACTTGGTCCCAATGCTAATAAACATTATACAAGTCCTGAGGGGAGCATGAATATCTGACCCACAATCATCATAATCCATCCTGTAACAAACATGTCTGTGTCGGCTCACAGAACAGAAAACACAAAGCATCTTTGCTGTGTCGGCTTCTATTTAAAGAAACAGAAACAACAAAAACCTAAAACCAGCAGCAGCAGGGGAATTACACGTCTCCTGTATCATGAGCTGCACAGCCTTCGGATAAAAAATGTCTTGGAGAGCGGCCATGGTAGGAAAGGGCTGGGACAGGACAACACTTTCATTTTACCAAGTTTCCCACAGCCACAGGAACACCCCGCTTATAAAGAATAAATGTCAGATTTATTAAAGCCTCTTAAAATGTTGTTTAATGGTCTGAGAGCAAGAATAAACACAGGATTCAAGTGTAGGCTTGAAATACTACTTGGAATGGACGGTCTGAATATATATGAAAGCCTATATAGGAACAGATTTGTTGTGACACTGTTAAAGTCTAAAAATCTTTATTACTGAAGCTCATCAGGGAAACAAAGACTTCAGAGCCTCCCACTGTCTGCACAGAGATCTGCCAGAGACAGTGGTGCTATTCCACAGAGCTGATTGGTCAGTAGGTGGTGAGTTCATACCTGCTGATCTCTAATCAGTAATATCCAGAACACAGAGAGTGCTGAGGTCTGACCCAGTGAACTCTGGGTCACATTTGACTGAATGTTTAGAGATTTTCATTGTTTTTCAAAGGTCTCACAGAGGACACAGACTGGGCTGGTGTTTAATTTTCCTAAAAGCTGTTTTATTCATTTCTTTTCTTCCCTTGTGTTTCCTTACTTTGATTTACCAGAGAGGAGGATAAAGTTTGTAAGGGGGTAGAAGCTCGAGCAGCATTTATAATACAAAGACTGAAACATTTCACAAAGAGGTCAGAGTGACTTCAGAGTTATTTCTAAAGACGTCAGCAGATGCAGAGCTGTGTGTAGCTGGTCTGTGTCCAGAGGAATGTGTTTGTAATAACGAACAAACACGACTGCAAGTACTCAGCTTCATACTTTAGAAGGCCACAGTGATGTGGACTCTTCAGCTGATGCCAAATCTGTGCACGAGGAGGAGGAGATGATCTTAGAGGAGAAACACAGCGCTACGATGGTCACACATCACACAGATTCAGCCTCACTCTGAGAAAACCAACAGACTGACAGCAGCAACTACACCTGCTCCATCAGTGATGGGAGAGCAAAGACTGACAAGCGTTCATTTACAGGTCAAAGGTCAGCAACAAACCCCAGCACCTGCTGTAGATACTGATGTCAGTACTGTAGGCAAAGGTCAGAGGTCAAACTGAAGGGAAGATTTCCTAAATAGACTCACCAGTAACATGTAGCTGAGAGCTAAACTCAGTGGAAACAGGATGTCACTGCTTCAACAGCTGCAGTCTTTACTGCAGGTGGAGGGTTACACTCACAACATTTACACACTGTGCATAGTGGAGAACAGGTGGACGCACACAGACGTGCAGCAGAAAGAGTTTCATAGTGTTGTCACAGTGTGTGTTCCTGCTGGCAGACAGCTGTAAACAACAACATGAATTTGTCTGTGAGAGTCCAGTCTGATCACAGGCTCGGCTTCAGTGTGAGATTCTCTCCTTCCTCCTGCGTGATAAGAAGACTGTTTCATCTGGGAACGACCTCGGGCAGCACTGCTGCATTATCTTGTTTAGATGTTGGGAAGGCCTCCAAACATGATCCACCCACGAGGCCAATGAGCACGAAGGGAAAGGAAATGTTTATCAAAGCAGAAAAACAAAACACCATCCTGAGAGTGCAG